ATTTTCAGCCCGGAGGCGGGAGAGGAATAGAAGGTGCAGATGTGCCGCACCTTGATCGACATTAGCCTTCATGTCCGTCTTCAAATCGGTGTTTCTCATCCACAAACAATCTTTCATACCGCAGCGAGCAATGGCATTGTCACTCCAATCTCTGGAACCAGCACCTTATGTGTGACTTTAGCAAAACACCAGCACGCCACGGCCATGGAGTAGAGCTACGGGGCTTCCTACGTTGGCTCTTGTTGACGACGTCGTACCTCCTTTTGCTCGACTACCGCGGATAGGCGATGCCCAGTTTCCTCTCTGCCTGTGCTGATCAACCTCCTCGTCCGTCGGGCAGTCAGCGCAAGATATTCAGCATGTGCGAGGATAACACCCACAACTATATGGGGCCAAAGCGTCAACAGTCACGCGCGTAGGGTAGCTACACGCTTCTCTTCTCTCTGTAAATCGGTTCAGAGAGAATAATCTCGGATATCAAGGGTTCTGTTTCATCGCCAAGGGCGCGAGGAATCTTCTGCCGATGAAGTACCCTATAAACCAGAAACTCTACCTTATAACGGTAATGTGCCTCTCTTGGCTACACAATTCAATGGCATGTATGACGAGTCGATGGCGATGGGACATTTGCATGAAATGGTCCACGCGTGTTAACCTGCGCGTACAAATGGCCTCAGGATTGGAAAAGATGTGATCAGCTTGATGATGATGCATATGGAAGTTGACAAGTGTTTCCCGAGATACCAAGGGTTAATCACTCAGAGGAGCCCCTATTAACAAGGCCATTTTGCTGCTCTTTTGGAGAGAAAAGTAGGCCCTTGACGACATCTACATTACCCATCGCGATCTGCTGCTTGGAAGATATGAACATCGGGGGAATGCGTATCATTTTGGCGAGAGGGTAAAGGTTCCGACTGCTAGTGGGAATCCTCGGATGCTGGCAAGGAGCATTGACTGATGGGAAGGATCTGCTTCTTGCAAGAAATCTGCTACTGGCAATAAGAAAAGTTGACTGTTCTCAAGAAACGACTGGTAATAGACATGGTCGGGGATCCAGCGGTCTAGAGCCGTAGGCCAGGTGGAGGATCTTGCATGGAGAGGGGCGGACTGGCCATGTTGCCGAGAGGATGAGAGTTCTTGTGCTTCTGGTCGTTGTTAGCGACATCCCAATCGGCAATCAATCGCTAGCCAGTGCCGACCAAGTCTTGTGTATCTGCCATTGTCTCTTGTAGGAAGCAAAACGGGATATAACGTCGCTAGCGAGCTGGCTACGGGGCTTCTTCAGAGGCAAGCAGCAGTCTTGCGTGCGCTACAACGAGAGAGCTTCTCCTTAAGGAAGACGAATCACCCTGCTGAATCGCGCTTGAGAAGTCGAGGGGGCGTAGGCTGTTAACAAGCGCAGGGCTGGCTGCATCGGCCACTGGGTTTGGAACGAAAGAAAAGGTGTGTTGACGCCGGGCGCAAATGATAATATCTTGGCATATTTGGCGATCTTGTTGTATCAAACTGATGCGTCAAACTTGATTGAAGAGTCGACGCAAGAGTTGGTTTGACGCCTTGTGCACCTTGGCGTGGGAGGCAATTGACATAGGCGACCTTGGGGCATCCCCAGTGCAGGTTATTTAGCGGACTCTGTGATAATCAATTTAGGGACAACACAGGCGGGCATTACAGGGGAACACACGAAGAAGCCCCACCATGGTCAAATGGTTTAAACAAGAACAGGCCGAACTGAATGAGTCGCAAAGGAACGCAGCACCTCCATGACTTCGCCAAAAGTACAAAAGGGATGGATAAGTCCATGCTTGGCAGGGGAGGATTAATACGCAGGGCTCTCAAGATGTAACGAAAAGTGCTACTCTTGACGATGAGGGGAAACTCGACAGCATGGAAGTGCTAGCTTAGGCATGATTTATCAGTATTGCAGCAGACACTCTATCTCTTTTCGTAGCCGAGAAATCACTAGAAGTCACATCAATAGCATGGTTTCTCAAACACTGTCACTGGGGTCTGGCAACACTATTGACTCTACAGACTTTGGCGCTCAGGCTTCAAAACAAAGCCATAGTTACTTGAACAGCAGTGAGAAGTGTCTGTACCCTTCGACCGACAGCTAGTTTCCACTGAAACAGCCATCGCGCTCTAGATCCGAGTTATATTGAGTACGGAACTGACTTGAACCATGGTGTCATCAACTTCTTTCTCCGTGGTAGTATACCGCATAGCCGAGATACTACTCGTAGAGACATGCGACCAGGTTCGATCCACCTTGCCCACGGAAATTCTCTTTGGCTCCTTCTTCTCTCCATGTTTCTGCGTCTCGAGATGCGCGACGTGCGGCAGGGCTGAGTAGCCAGAGAGAGGGGAGCGGTCGACTTGACTGGAAGGAGGACACATCGTCGAGGTGAAAGTCGTAACGATGGGAGGAAGCGGTGCCTCTGGAGCGTCGTGTATGCCCAGCCGTTGGTGTAATTACCGAAATCAGCGCTGTTGCAACTGATAGGAACACCATACACTTACTGGCTACTACAGTAAGGTCTTCCGCCTTCTTCGACATGGATCAGGCGGCAGCAACCGCACTGCGGCCGGATGCAACTGTAGATGATCGAATCGTGACTTGGAGGGAGACAGCCTGCGGAGACATGATCGGGTTACTCCGCGTGCGTGTGTTGAACTTCAATTCGCAACCTCGAGGACTGATTATTCTTCGGTTGCAACTGCAAATGCATTTTGTTGGAGTGGACATTGGTCGAATATATGCGGTTCGTCTCGTCGTCGCACTCATCAGGTCTGACGATGTCGTCGCTCATATCTCATAAATCTACACCCATCAGTAAATTGTCTCATAACTCAAAACCAGAACATACCATAAGAGAATCATCATTCATCCTCCGATCAGACGCTTCGCCAACTCATCAAATACGCCTTCCTTTATGTCCTCTAAATCTTCATCCCTCGCGTCTTCGATGCATTTGACTCTATGATCCAGCGAGCTGATATCATCTCTTATTTCTATTATCACAGCCTCCTCCGCATCTACCGGTTCTAGCCCTTCGCACTTCTTCTCCAGGCGTTCGACCTTGTCTTTGAGCTGAGCGTTATCTGCTCTTAGCTTGGCGTTGTCGGCTTGCAGGTCGTCAACCTTGGATTCCAGCTTCTGGAGCTTATCCCAGAATTGGTTGAAGAATTCGGGGTGGCTGTCTTGTCGGGGCCGTTTGCGATTGGACGGAGCGTTCGGGGGAGCCTGAGTTCTCGTTGCTTTCTTGTAAGACGGGGGTTTGGGGGGAGGAATTGTTGTGACTTTTGCGCCGGTGCCGCTGAACATTCGTGAGACATCATAGTCTGGATCGGAGGAGGGTTTGATTTGACGTTGTTCCACAGCCTCGCTGATGGTCTTGAGCTCATCGGGTGAGAGTAGAGACTGTTGGATGTAGATACGCAACGAGGTGATACAAGAAAGCTCGTGTATCAAGTCGAGGATCTTGCCCGATCGCGCACGAGCTGCTACAACAGGCTCTTCAACATCGCTAGGAATAAGAACGGTGATTCTGTTATCCAGGGTGAAGTCGAGGGACGTAGTCGCATCGAATATGGGTTTTACGGCATCGGGCGGGTTCAGCACGTCGGAAAAAGCGAAGGACTTGATAAAGAAGGGATTTATCCTGAGGCATACGCCTGCCCCAGCCGGCTTGTCCTTGAATCTGAAGGGAATGCTGATTTCGAAGTGCGCACCAGATTGACTCTCACGGTCGAGTCGCAATGTAAATCGTATCGCGTCGTGATCGGGATCGGCGGTGGCTAAGTTGCGCGTGACAACCTCCCACTGCCACTCGACGACAGCTGTTGTTTCGTTGATGGCGATGCATGCCATAGCGCAAGGTTAGTAGACGAAATCAAGACTTACCTGCACAGCACATCCAATAACGCAACCACGAGAGAGATACCGAGCCTCGCTGGCGGGCGCCCAGGACCTCCAGTAGAACTGCCAGGTCGCCTCGGAACTCCAGTAGAACTGCGAGATTCCGAGTCCAGGTCGCCCTCTACACGCCCCGGTTATTCCACAGAGAGGACTCTCGCTCTCGGTGGGTATAATCCGGAATTTTATAACGGGTGTAGCGCGATGCTTGGGGTTCCCTCGAGGAGTGTTACTGAGCGCGGGATGATGGGAGGGACGTTATGGCGTGGAGGCGACATTTCGAGGAGGGTGAAGAGGAGGATGATTGAACATGAAGCTGGTTGTGAGAGGAGCGTGAATTGGCGAGGGTGGAGTAGCCTGCGCTCGGAAGAACGTTGGTCCGACGAGGCTGAGGAACAGCCTTCAGACAAGACAGGAGTCTTTCGTGGCGCTGGCCTTGATCTGCTAGGACACAACAGAAACAGTCGAGATACGCCATGAGAGCTAGACTTTATCACAGTAAACACCAGTTCGAAAATATCAAGTACTAAAACAAGTCACACTTAGGGATAATACCACTGTTCTGGTGATCTTCAATTGATCGATGTTCACATTCAAAGCAAAAATGCGATAATCATTACACAGCGCAACTGTAGTGGAGTGATCCGCTAAATCGTCCTCGTTAGTGAGCGATTCCAGGGACTCGCGTTGGCCAACACTACCGCCTCATCTACACCAATCAACCTCGGATTTCAGCTGTCGGGGTGGAGCCGTAACTGGAAACCGACTACTCCGTGTCTGCCTCTGGATTTCGCCTCCGGAAGCCCAGTCATTGCATTCATAATTTGCTCAATACTAGTTTTATTGTCCTAATAAAACCCATGTCTATAGTTTTACATTTTCCTTCTATCCAAATACTCCCAGAACATATGAGATCCTTTCTAAAATAGCCTTTTCCCATTCTCTTGCCCGACAACCTTGGCACCCACCTTATGATTCATTTTCCGTTCCAAAGACTTGCTGTCTGCCTCTTCCGTTTGTGTTCCTCTGGCCCATGGTTCGTTCTCAGCTTGTGATAAGTTGAAGGGAGAAATGAACTGGCTGGTTAGTCACTGACTTGAAAGCGTCTTGCCTGTCTCGTGCGGAGCCTGATCTTCTCCCCACTGGCCTTGGCCGCTTCTTCTCTCTCCTGTCTCGCCAATGACTTCTTGAGAGCCGCTCTCTCCCGTCTCTCTTTTGTGGCCTTCACTCTCTGCGCCTTTTTATCCTCCTTTCTCGTCTTTCGCTGCTGCTCTCCGATTGCCATGTCGACCTTGGCGACCATTCTGTCGACGACGCCTGGGCATGCACAGGCAAGCGGCATAGCAGTGATGGTTGCAGTGGGATGGCCCTCACGGGTTTCCGATAGCATGGCCGATACGGCTGGGGACCAGCTCTTAATGCCCTCGTGGAAGCGACGGTGATCAAGCAGACCCTGGAGAAAAGCGTTGTTCCAAGGCCGATGGATGACTGGCATCCCGACAGGGATCCATGTGTTGCAAGATTTGTGCCTTTTGAACCCATTCATTTCATCCTGCATTACCATGAATATGTCGGGGAACTTCTCTGCATACTTTAGGCGAATATCAAGGTTCGGCATGATAATCGTAGTGATACGTTCAGACTGGGTGACATCAAGATGAAAAGAGAATTTCTCAAATGGGAACCTGCCCAACCTGCGCTGACTACTCCAAAAGGGCAAATGCAAGACATCGGTTCTGGGATTGAAGTATCCATACTGCTGGGTATCGGAAGGCTCCAATGGATCCGTCGAGATGGTGTAGCGTTTGAGCCGGAGCTGGGCTTGGTTTCGTGATTCTTCGCTGACCATGAGAGCAACTGGGAGCGGAGGTGCCTTGATTCGAAGCCATCTGTCGTTCTGCTTGCGCGAAGGCTTGAGACAGTAGACTTGAGGGTCTGGGAGAGTCATATCCCATACCATCCTTCTTAGCTCAGGCGGCATGTTTTTGAAGCAGGTGAAGGTTGGCTGAGGTGGGGGAGGAGGAAGTGGAGCGAGTGCCTGGAACATGATAGCTTCTTGCAGTCGCGTAGATGGGGGCATATCGTATGGCTTACGGTGGGAATGAGGGAAAGGTTTTGGTGAAGTGTTGGTTTAATTGAGGCAGTTGCTTGCATCAAAGTACAGTTCTAGAAGGGTTGGAGAAAGGGGGGGAAGAAAAGGCTAGAGGTATACGGATGGGCTTCAACAGTAAGTTTTATTCTTTCACTTCAGACATATCATATATCATAACTACTCCTCAAACCCATAGTGAATGGTAGTATAAACATCATGCCTAGACTTTACATGCATCTATCGACAAAGAAGGACAGGTGTCTATCATGCTTGCAGCAGATATCACAAAGAACCACCAGATCTTGAAACCCCGTTCATTCGCTTCTACGTATGTACTTACACACTTGAAGGAGATTATTGGCTAGTTGAAAGCTTGGCAAAGAAAAGCTCAGGCTTCTAGAATTCTGCATCATGACATTGAAGAACAAGGCAGGGGACCGTGTGGAGTAGCTCAAGCCACTTGCATGGTCCGAACATGACGGTAGCAGTTGTTAGACAGCAGAAGACCAAACCTGTGCTTTTATTACTCTACATATTATGACCAATAAGCTAAAGAGAGACAAGGAACAACAGAAACTTCGCTTGACTGAGAGATAATCAGCGTCCTCTGAAAGAACTGGTTCACGTTGTGTTTGGTTGCACAAAGTTGGTGAGGTGATGAACTTACCCTTTGGTAGCCCATTATCTAAATATGCTTGGTACCGAGGGAACCCCTACGGCTAAATCCAAAACCTGTAACTTGAGATCGGACTGTAGGCTGTGATATCGCATCTGGACTGCAAAAGTGTCTGGTGTCTTTGTTCTATCGGGAGGTCTGAGCACATGGTCCCCTATGACGTGGCTTCAATTGAGGTTCTTACGAAACCCTACGGAGTACAGAATACATCCCCTGCAATGGCTTTTGTGGCTGGGCTTGAAGCTGCCATTCATACTTCTACAGCGCCAACTTTTGCTAAAAAGTTGACGGCACTAGCAAATTGAGGTGCAGGACAGTTGCGACTTCATCATAACAGGGCATGCTTGATCTGGCACAATGATCGCAGGAGTAGCACCAGGCCGAATCGGAGCGAGAATCTCCTGGCTGTGTAGCTTCAACGCCAATGCTTCCAGTAGTGGCGCGGAAGAATTGTGTTGGGATTTAGATACCGTCGCTGCTTGCAAACGCGTAGTTGCTGTGAGGAGTTTGACCCATTCCTTCGGACTACCCTAAACTGAGGTGGTACATGGAAATTTAGTTAGAGCAGGCGACGCTCTAGCAGCACCGAAAAGCAAAGAGGACGTCTGGTCGCGACTTAGCCTTGCGTCTGTGAGCGTGAACCCTTCCAAGTGAGGCTGGGCCTCTCACTCCAGGGTCCAAACACCGATGACAGGATTCCTGAACTAGAGGGCGAACAACCGCACACTCGTGGACGCGAACAGAGTGATGAAGAGGAGGAAATTGCTCCTTAGTTTAGCGGGTTATCTGGCCCCCGACACTGAGCTGCTGACAGGCTCGCGAGATGATGGAATGAATGACATTGGGCATTCTCTTGCTTGCCTGTAGCTTGCATTTTATCGATATCGGAAAGAAATCGGGTGGATTGGACGAATATCATGCGTCGCGTGTCAATTCAAAAGAGAAAGTAAAGAAATGGCAACTAAAATGACTTGTGTATCACGGTGATCGATCAATAGACTCATGGAGACTGGTTGCATCTTAAGATGGCCAGGATAGATCTTAAGATGCTCAACTTCAGTGATAAGGATTCGGATTTGGCCAATGATCCAGATGCTTTAGGCCAAGACCACTGTAACCCCCACCGAAAGAACACTAGCACAGGTCACTTTGATGCATCTGTAGCACAAGGGCGCTTTACAAAGTAACCACAAGAGGGTAATCAACAAGAATTGGTATAGAGAGATTGAGAATGAGGACTTTGACGTGTACCTATTGAGGCTAGGAAGGGTACAATCTTTGCGCATCAAGGTCTCGGCGCTAGTGGGTGCCCTGTGTTTTTGCAAGAGAAAGACACAGGCACCGCGGTACCTTTGACGACAGCGAACATAACAGAGCTGGTCCGCTGTAGACCCTTATCGCCGCAACGGACGTTCTGCTCCGGGCCGGGCCCGAACACGAAGCACATGGAGATTGTGAAGACTTCTCTGCTAAACAGCTGGAGGTACATCCAGTGCCTCCACTGTGGCTGGTTTCGCAAGTTACCCAGCAGTAACTTGGCAAAACAGGCCTCCAAAAGTCGGGGAGTCTAAGACTGCCCACTTCTAGCTGACAATCCATTTCCCGCTCATCTCCCCGTTTTACAATGGCTTAACCTATGCGATGTTGATTGGCGTTTTGGGTGAATTGACTTTGGACTTGCTCTAGACTAAACGTCCAAGATAAGGTTCGGGCCGTAGATCTCACCAACTACGCCGCAGTCAGTCAGGCACCGTTCTGATCCATTTCAAGATGGAGCCGGTGGGGCGATCACACAAGTCTCGTATATACAATTTCATCTCACGCAGTACCCTCTTGTCATCATGCCAGAGGAAGCCTTCAACGCGCTTCGGAAGGTCTATGGACAGTCGACGCAGCAGGTTATTCAGCGGGCGCATGACTAGTTGCTGCGAGAACTGGACCCGAACCCTTCCATCGCCAATGGTCGATGGCTTCTTTCACATCGATCAGATTTATGCTTCACGTACCGTCAAGTCTCAACAGGCCGCGAACTGGTCAGACAGTGTCGTGGATACGGCATGGGGTTCGCAACAAAGTCGGAGGTGCATGGCCATGGTTGTATATGAAAGAGTAGACGATGGGACAAATATATAATACCTGTATCACAAAACCTATTTGCGGATGGGAGCACTTGTCTTTTCAGTCGAGTCGGTGCGAGCGTATCATGGCGCGGTTTAGCAATCGGGTTCTCGCGACTAGGAGATGAGAGGGCGGGCGCCTGGTCGCCACACGTAGAGGTACTCGATCGTGTAGGTAGTATAAAGCTCGCTGATGGGCATCTATTGAAAGAGTACGGGTCGGATCCTTCTGTCTTGTCGGCAGAGGAGGCGTCGAGATGGTTGAGGCAGTATTGGACAGTGTGGAGTTTGAGCTGATGCGCGAATAGATACGAGCACGCGTTAGGACAATAGAAGGATGTGAAGGATATGACAGTAAGAAAAGAGCAAGAGCGAGGCGAGGTGCAGTCCATGCCATGCCATGGGCTGCTTTTCAGCTCCCGCCTGAGAACAGACCATGCCCTGAGTATCGCTAAATTTACAGTGGACTTACATGCGCTAATAGGCTACGTTCTGACGAAAGTGAGCCCCGCCTCTCACCGAATTGCTCCAGGGCTGCCTGCATCAATCACGACACGACATCTCTCCATTGAGGACATTGTCCCTCGTGCTCCTACATTGCACAAGGCCGACACAGTAGTTGAAATCTTGTTGATAAGTGTTCGGTATCATTACACTTCTTTGACTTCAAGATTCAACGCGTCAGTTACCGTATGTCAACTGATCTCCGTTGCGTCGTCTGCTCACCCACTACAAACAACATCCATCAGTTTCATTTCCTCAGCGTTTGCCTGGAAAACACAATGTCGGGGACCTGCATTAGCACAACTAAAGCCATTTGCTGGAGAATGGGGCGAAAGAAAAGGTGAAATGTTTAGCATCCTTTGTTTCTCGCTCCCTCGATTTTCTCGACCTTCCAGCTTCATCGCTTTGCTGCTCCATTTCGCCAGTGCCATCATTTGATACCACCCACTCTCTGCTGGCCATTTTGCTTCGCACTCACTCGCTCCCACTATGGGCACCGGGAAGCGGTCGCTTCAAGCGTACGTTGAAGACTACGTCGAGGAGGATGAGGAGGATTCAGATTCCGACGTCCCTCTGAGAGAAACGCAAGCGAAACGCCTTAGACGCTCCCATGAACCAAATCCACCTCGCGCCATTTCTCCCTCACCAGTTCAGCCCTCGCAACCAGCACCGACGGCTCAAGCCCAGCCCGCAACTCAACCCAGCATTACTGCGATACGACCCGAGCGAACTCAATGCCACGCCCAACGACCCAGACCGCGAGCCCGAGGCCCCTCAATTCGTACTCAACTCCCTGCGACAGCGGTCATCAACAGGGCAAGGCAAGCATCTCAGAGCTTTGCGCCAGTCTCAGAACCCTTCCGACCTGCAGCTACTCCTACTACAAACACACTGCCTTTCGACGGGATAGACTTGAATCCTCCTCAGCCACGCTGGCCACCACTACCCGAGAACAACGACATACCCGACGCCTTTTTATTTTACGCTGAAGAGATTCGCATCGTCGTGAACATGCTTTGCGGCACATGCATTGATCGCGAATTATTCTTTGAACTCATCCGAAATTTAGACACCGCTCCATCTACAAAGCCCGTCTGGACTATCCCAGATTTATCAGAGCAGAAAGAGATTGGGTTTCTCTGCGGTACGTCCCCAGTTCATCATCGTCGCCATGTATGACTTATCCTTGCAGCATTCCCGGAACAACATCATTCGATACCAATGTGTGAGCACTGCCACGCCTGCGAGTTTCTCTATGTTACCCATCGGGTCAAATTCAGAAGCGGCCTTCGAGTGGATGCGGCGTTCTATTGCGTGACACGGGAGGGCTATCCAGCTCGGCACTCGATGCTCTCTGTATGCCGGCATAGGTATAGAGATACGGAGTATCTTCAGAGAACAGAGCAGGAGTTACTCCTGAAGGCACATAATAGTGTGCGTGAATTTTGCTGGCGGCTTGCAGCGTGGCTGTTTAAAGATGCATTCTATCGTAGGACGGATATGATGAACAGACAAGCGTTGTTTCGACTTTTTGAGGGTGCTGTGGCACGTTAAAAGGGATATGATTCGAAGGGTTGCAAAGATTCTTTTGCGCAAGCTGACACTGATCGAGGCATGACTGAGATATAGGCACACGAATCGGAATGTGAGGTTGTTACTCATTGGCGACTGAACAAGAACCACGGCTGGTTTGGTGTCCATTGTGCTCGCGTGCTTTGGCCTTCGGTACATGGTCTGATGATGGTATTGAGACATGGCAACGATTTGAAGATGAGCAGCTGTGTAAGAGAAGAAAGCTTATGGAAAATATAGCTTAGGTGAGAAGAGACGAAGGAGTTGAGCCATCGCATGCTGAGACATTCGCTCTGGTGTATTAGTAGTAGTTCAATACGTTTGACAGTTCTATAGAAAGCAAATTCATCCAGGAATGGCCTCTGCCGCTTTGCTTCGGGAAACGAGGCTGGTTACTGACAAGTGTAAGAGGTATGTTTTGGTCAAAGGAATGTCTTTGGCGGCGCAATTCCAAGACTTAGGAAGCCATATTCCTTGATGAGACTTGGAAATTGAATTGAGAGGTGGAAATTCAGCTACCATTGATCTTTCTGTAAATTGGTCACTTGAGATGACGGGACATTCACCTACGTGGTTCAGAATGTTGCTCAGAAGTGAAACTATTCAGACTAGTAAAGATCACAACTGCGAATTGGTAGAAACATACCACTCAACATGTATGAAAAGGCAAAACAACCCATAGTCTACTCAGTGGCCTGACCGAACGTGGCGTGTTCAGAGTCCAGTGTCTCGACGCTGATGCGGTGGTAGTTTGCAGTCAGTTATTGTCTTGTCGTCATGGTAATTCGACGTACACGGTCCCGTGAGTCTTCTCTTGTGCCTCAAGAACAAGAGCCATTGAGCAACTTGGAGCGACTCGCTCTTTTGCTTGTCACTCACGGCGAATTCTTCTGGTCCTGTGAGGGTTTTAACGAGCCCGACCATGAATTTGATGGTTCCGAGAAACTCAGGAGTATGTTCGACATCAGAAATGGCAGTTATCTCCTTGGACAGTTTGACTACATATTGCTAGGACAGTTGTTTGAGGATTCTGACTGAGTTACGAGGTGCGATCTCTGAGACGGTCAAAGAGTAATTTTCGGATAGTCCGTCTCCAATCTCGATGCTGTGGTACCACATCCTTTGTGTTTTGCCTGTTTCGCCAAAGATATCTTGATGCTTCATTACGAGCTTGCCGCTGACGAAGAACTTGAGGACACTCCTCACGATGCTTGTCCATGTAAAAGCCCATCATCAGCTATCCTTCCCCTTCCCACATATCGTGACCAAAATCGAGAATCAACACTGTATTTTCTCAAACGAAGATACAATGCCCCATGCATTCGCAAGGACAGCCGGACATGAAACAGTAGATACTGTAAAGCTTGAGTGAGGGTTGGTCGCAACTTTCGTGGTGACAGGAAAGAAGAAAGAGATCTCCACATTGGGGCACGGCCAAGCAGCCAAATTGAAGATTTTGACGAATGACAGATGATGTTTTTGATCAAAGAGGTGAATCGTATCTCACAAAAAATGACTCGCTTATTGCTAGAACAGGCAAAAACATACAACAGCGGGGATTCGCTGGTCGTCACCGACCCAACTACTAATCCGCCGGTTAGTGGCTTGACTATGGGAGAGCAGACGGGATCCCGTATTTTCCACTACCTATGGTCGTATGTGGTAGGAAGAAGACGCAATGCAACTCATATCGACGGGAGTCATGGTTGTAGTTCGCGAGGGACAGTACCCTGCGCCGTAGTGATTATTGACTGGGCTGTCTTGGAGATAATTTTCTGCTACCAAAACCTATGCTGCATTGGCGATTTCGTCGATCTGTCTATGTTAGTTTGGAACTGAGAATGCGGAATGACCACCTGGTCTATGCGGATAGGGTATTGCGACTAGGAGACAGCAGCTGGCCATTGACTGGAGTCGACATCTTGCAATCCAGGACACAATGACAGTCTGAACAGGGCGCCGTTGGTTCACTTTCTTTCCTTTGAGGATCGCATGTCAACCTTTTGCACCAGAAAATATGGATAACCGTTCGACAGTCGGTGATTTTACCAAGCCGCACTGACCCTCGCCGGCGCATCAAGGTACTATCTGGATAATGCGGATCAGCCTTCGGGGGGAAGACGGTGCTGTTCAGTCAACTCTAGTGATCAACAGGGTGCAACTACGGGGTTCCGGCCACAGGTACTCCACTGGGTGCCTGGAGTGATTTGCAAGTGCGCGATTCTTACCAGATTCCATTCCATCACGTCGAGCTGCTGCTTGAGCCTCGTCTATGGAGACGCCATCGCCGAATGCATTGTTCATTCTATACAGGTGTAAATAATGTACAGCATCTGGAACTACTCAGATTCCTGCTTCCGTTCGGCACGAGCTCGAGACATCTCTTCAACCCCCGTAGAATTATAACCAGTCTGGTGGTAAAGTCGGTTTTCCCCGCCCGTGTCTCTGCCACTACCACGATCTGTCTTGCCAAGGTACCAATCTAAGAGGGACCCAAAGATAGTTGGGTGCTCTCTGCATGCAACTGTTCAAGTTCAAAGGAAAGAAAGTCTGACAAGCCTCTTTCATCCAAGCACTATCCAACACGACTTGTATTGTCTCACGTAGACTGGAACGCAGTCTTGGCCAGCGTAGCCTCCCACTGCCTTATCCTCTCAACAGCTTCAGCCTTACTTCTCTCTTCACCCCGAATCTTGTCCCCAAGCTCCGTAAGACTGACATCAGAATCCTTCTCCGCCCTCTCCGCCATTTCAAGGGCTCTCTTCGCTGCTTCAAGGTGCATCTCCAACTCAGAAACCTTGCGACTCAGGTCGTGTGTGCCCCTGCTATGCCTTTCGATGAGTTCGTGTCGAGCTTGCTTGAGCTCAGCGATCGTCTCATCATTCTTCTTTGCGCTGGATTTCTCGGCCTTTACGCAGGCTTCAAGCTTGCGTCGTTGATTGAGAAAAGCGGCAAAGTTCACTTCGAGAGATTGGGCGAGGGTGAGAGTATCATCGGAATCGCTTAGGGGTGTGTTGGTCTCTGATGCTCGTGCGTTGTCTTTAGGTGCAGTGTCTACATATTCAGTGTTCGCTGCCTCATCATCTGTAAGTTCTCCAAACTCAGGTTGATCAGATATAGGCTGCGGGGAGCTCTCGGATGACGAAATGAGCACGATCTGCTCTGACTTCTTTCCCCTCAGACGAGGGGAGACCATAGCCAGTTCCTGCTTCTTGTGGGCTGAAGACTCTGCCAGATTGGACTTGGAAGAAGGCACTTGAAGCTGGAGATCAATGGGGATAGCCTGATCCTTTGGCATCTCAGTGGGAATCGTCTCCCCGTCCAAGCCAGTGTCTTTGGTGGAGGTCAAGTCTTCTGTTGCCATGTTCTCATCTGCATCGGCTGGTCCAATCATCTTAATGAATTCCATACGGGCGGTTGCAGTGTCGACGCATCGAGGAACCCTCTCCCTAGCCATGAGACACTTCAGAAAAACAAGGGAATAGATCCCGCCGCTGGTACTGTCGATGTGAATAGGGCCGGGCTGCAAAGAATGAGTATCGTAATTCGTCAATACTTGGATATCCAACTTACTTGTTTCACGAACATCATCCCTTTCATGCTGAACTTTGGTTGCGATCTCAACCAATCTACAAGTTCCTTTGCAGGGATCTTTGTGAGATGGTTTGTCAAGTGATGGACCAGAGTTGCCTTGCCCACGTCGAGATGACAAAGCGCCCACTGGTTCTCATTCTGGCTGTAGACGAAGAATGCTATGTGTCGCGCTTTCAGAGCGGGATGTTGAGCGTGGATTTCGTCGGCGTCTGTGAAGGAGGAGCCGGGTGGGAAGATGTACCAATCTGGAGGGCGGGGGAATAATTTCGCACACCGCGTCATGTCTTGGCTGTCTAGTCCATCGCCGTTTCGCAGGGTCTCGATGGTAGCGCTCACAGGTTTGGCCATGTCAGTGGTCTGAGGTTGTCTACCAGTGGACTCTGTGGCTTCAAGAACTGGTGACTCGACGATTGTTATTGACTCTGCAAGATGCTCAGACATCGGCTCAGTATTCTCTCTATCGAGTGTTGCTTGCTCGTTTTCGCTGCTGGGCGTCTTTTCTCTCTGAGTCTGAGAAAGCGCCTTGGGCTCCAGATTCTCAAAGTCAATCTTGTTAAAGATTCACTGGTGGATCCTTCCGATAGGATCTTGGCGGACGAGCTGGACCATCAGACCTCCCTCACTCCACAGCTCGGCGGGATCGCGGTTTGCATCCTGGAAGGCTTTGATGACCTTCCGCATACCGGCCTTGTTGCGGGGGAGCATTTTGCCGGCGGGTGCCTACTCGGGAGGCCACCAGCCCGGACATCCTTCATCAGGCTTGATTGGTTTGCGCGTCTTCTCTCCTGGACTCGGATGCGGTGGAGCTGATATCTTTGGCTGCTTCGCAGGGCGGCTGGGGGAAGGCGAGCGGCTTGTCCCAGCCAGTGGCCGCTTTCGAGCTTTGCCAGACCTTTTGGGAGGCATGGTATGGTCAGGCAGGTCCTGCGCACTCGTCAGCTTAGTCACTTGATCCTGACTTGACCTTTTGCCCAAGCCCTATCGTTATCCGTGAGAGACAATACAGCGTTTCAGAGATGGCTCATGGCACTTGCTTGGGAGATGGTGTGATAGTGTGCGAAAGGGGCGCGGATATATACTGGTCGTTCTGGGTGAACTGACGATATTATTCTTCAGCCTGTGCGTGAGACGACTTGGGCGTTGTTGTGAGAACAAAAAAGCAAACACATGGTGTCTGTCTGTTACAGAGCACTGTTGGTGGCTGTCAGTGGATTCCTCAGGCCAGGGTAACTGTCGCGCAGTGCCAGGCGCGGTCCGAGGAGCCTATCATTCAGCTTCATTTTTGTGTGACCAGATGAGAAAATCAATGATCGTCCAGCATCGTGCATGAGAATGTACTTGGTGATGCTGAAAGTTACACTTCCAGTGGTCTGAGAAATGAATCACTGAGGTGTACGATCAAACATTTTAGGCGGCCGGAGGACGATGGTCTCCTTATGAAGAGGCATGTTACAATACAAATAAAGGCCGTTGAGTAATCTATCACTTATTAGCCGTAAAGCATGCCACACATTCGATGCAGACTACACTAAAGCCAAGCTGCGTACACCTACCAAAACAACAAAGGGAGCTCTAATCATGATATTCACTATGGTTGCCTTGTTCAGAAAACCCTCTTTACATTACTTTAAAGATCTGGGCACCACTGTATTAGATGGGATGATAAGGCTTCCAGTACTTTAACTGTTGCTGACACGGGCCGGGACGATTATCGAGAGTAGGTAGATGCGGTACTTTCCTTCACCTACCTACTAAGCTGTCAAAGCTTCATCACCTGGAAAGACAAGCCTCCTTACATCTCTCCTTGCCATCTTCTCAATGTTAGGCAAACCGTCCCTCAAATGCACCGTCTCAGCATTCATATGACCAAGCGTAGCCGCGAAATGTGCGCAGCATATCACCAGTGCCTCGGACCCTCATCAGCGGGGTTTAAGTACGGTGGCTTATTGTATCAGTGATATTTTCAGGTTCATTATCTCTTGGTCACTTCGCTGGTCGTGCTGCCTGGGTTTGGTAAGTATGGCCATGTTCGGAAGTAAAGAGGCATTGGTTTCAGCCACAAGGCTTTGTTCATTGAATGAATAAGCACAAAGGAACTAAACACAAAACGATGTCTTTGTGATACTGCCGTACTATATAAACCACATTGTTCTCCCCTTGACCATCCTGGATTACGTCTCTTTCATCTTCGCCTAACTTTCCGTAACATTGCACTTCTCTCACCGCATCAACCGCAATGTTCATATTGCGCGTAGAAAGAAATTGGCGTCTCATAGCACGTCAGATGCAGCGACTTCTCAAACAGATGAAGGACATGGCCGAAAGGGAAAACGCAAACTTCAGCGATATCCTTGACGGTTTGGGCATCAACATGGACTTTATCTTTGATCTCGGTATTCTTGCTCCGTTGTCTGAAACCACCGAGGGTGAACTACGCTGGCCAAAAGAGTGGGTTGAGCCCAAAGGCACATTTGATGCGAACTTGGACATGCTCAAAAGTTGGGTCCTTGACTGTTCCTCAAGGAAGGAGGACGAGGACGAGACCGATGCTCCAAGCCTAGTTAAGGGCCAAGGCTGCTTGTTTACACCACCTCCTCTAACTGAGAGACAAAAGCGACAGATATTTAAAGGTCAATGATGTTGAATACATCTTGCCAAATTTGATCCCGACATAGAAGACAACCAATTTCAACAGGTCTGCATGGACTGTGAGCATGGAGGTTATGTGTGGACTTGATGGTTTCTGTTTTGCAGGTGTTGATCTCCGATGATTATGGTCGCGATTCTTAGTCATACAACCAGCCTAAAACAGTACGCGTGTACCTTCATCTTACCTTACCTTAAAGCCTCACAACACCGTGCCAACTCTTATCAGTGCAACACAACCCCTCACCTACCAAACAACTGCAACCCACAAACAAAATGATCAAGCTTGTCGCATTCGACCTCGATGGCACTCTCGCTGAGAGCAAGCAGGCAATTCTCGACTCAATGGGCGAAGCCCTCGCCGATCTTTTGACCGTCGCCCACGTCGCAGTCATTTCGGGCGGCGATTGGCCTCAGTTTCAGAAACAGGTCGCAAGCCGTCTTCCCGCGCGAGCTGACCTTTCCAAACTCTGGCTCATGCCTACCACCGGCACAAAGCTCTACACGCACAAGGGAGATGAGTGGAAGGTGGAATATGCGGAACTCTTCAGCGAGGAGCAGAGGAAGGACATCATCGAGGCTTTCAACGCTGCTCTCGACGCAACGGGCTTCCAGCCAGAGCAGACTTGGGGTGAGCGCATTGAAGATCGAGGCAGCCAGATCACCTTTTCTGCACTCGGCCAACAAGCGCCCCCATCGGCAAAGGAGGTTTGGGATCCCGATTTTGAGAAGCGAAAGATTATCCAAGCAGACTTGTACAAGCGACTCCCAGACTTGTCAATCAACATGGGCGGAGCGACTTCAATCGACATCACGCAGAAGGGTGTTGACAAGGGCTACGGGCTGAAGAAGCTCTCGGCAGCGAGTGGGATTCCCCTGGAGCAGATCATGTTCATCGGAGATGCCATCTTTCCAGGTGGAAACGATTACCCTGCTAAGGAATTGGGACTGCACACGGTGCGAGTGAAGAACCCGGATGGGACTCTGGCTGCTATTGCGGGCATCGTTGCGTGTTTGAGCGAGACTGGGCCTTTGCATTGACGTGGGACCCCAATCAACAGCATTTTAAGCCTGTGAGGGGAAGTAATGGCTTCCTACTTTCGAGGGATATTAGGAGAAAATATCGTTCATGTTGGGAGGGAAGCAGGGCAGATAACAACTAGCAAAAGATCCTTCAAGCTATAAGGATTCAATATCACTAGAACTGGTATAAATCAATTAGCCTTCGCACCCAATATGCAACTCGCTGTTAAATGCGTATTTTCACGTGCGCGACATGGCACGCACCCTTTATCAATCTGTCTGAATAGGGCTCGCGCATCGTCATGTCTGAATAACCAATACCTCTCAAGCCCTTATTGTACACCGTGACACCTACAAGGTTCACGAACTAATCATATTTGGGAAGCTTGAGGATTTCACATGCAGCTTTGGCGTTCAGACCGGTTCACTGAGTATATTAACGTAGCCAAATCGTCGCTAGCCTGGGACCACGTTGTTGGACTTCTTCTATCCCAGCCTAATCCCACAGACCACGGACCTGTAGCTTCGAAGAGTTAGTATTTTGATCGATAAAGATGGTAAGCAAAGTATCAGTATGTCGAATGCCTCAGCTTGTTAACGGAAACAGCTTGAATCACATGTGATCATAGCCATGGAAGTATTTGTTTCGATCTCATCATTGATGGGGGGAACTTAGTAAATGATAAGAAGGCTTACCTTTCAAAACTAGAGGAATGATGTCATGGTTTCCAATGATTCTAGCCTGATAGCATGTACTTCTTTTACCAAAGACTTTAACTCCCAGGAGTGGATGGGCCTCAATCACGAACCCTCTCACGACCCCAACTGCTCCTGGCCTCGAATATATGGGCGAACGCGGGAATGAAGGAAGAAGAAGAAGACAAGAAATATTTGCGGCATTTTCTACTTTTCAACGTGGGATTCGCGCCCAATATTTTTCAAGGGGTCCCTGCTCGGAAGAGCGTTGATCCATGCGCAGCCAAGATGATATCGAGGTCATGCGTCTACTGAGGACGGTCATCACGCCTTGGCCCCTCTTGACCGCTAACAATCTTTCAATCACTACTGTGTATTGAAGTTCTCACTAGCTATCCAAAATACAAAATACAAAACTGTTTGAGAACGCAGGCTCAAATGTTGACCTTATCAATGTCGTACACCATCTGCTGCGTCTCTGAACCCCAACGATCCATGCCAAACGCCCAAGCACCTTGCATGAACAGCCAAAGTCCCGTCTCTTTCAGCCACAATCCCCATGGCCCTGTCTTTCTTCTCATCTTTGCGTTTCCAGAAGATCTGTTCGCAATATCCTCAACTCTTGGTCTCCGGATGTCATCAAACTGCTTGAATGCATCGTCAAGAGACAGTTCCTTTTCGAGAAGACGGGCAAGGAGAAACGCGTCTTCGAATGCCATCGATACTCCTTGGCCTGCATGAGGTGGCATAGCATGTGCAGCATCACCAAGAAGGAGAGTCCTTCCTTTGTACCATCTTCCCCCGGTAGGTAGCTTGTAAATCGGGTAGAACTTCACAGCTGTCGAATTGCTAATAAGCTCTCGCAAGTTATTGCCCCACTCTCCACCAGCATCTTCAAGAGTTCTGTGAAGTTGAGTCTTGAACCCCTCCACTTCCTCCCGTCGATGAAGCTCCCATCCATTACGGGCGTCCTCAGAGTCCGGCAGCGGGACTTCTTTAGACAGAAACCACTGGATCTCGTCATCGGAAGCAGTGCATGTCATGACGCCAAACATACCCTCTTGAGTCATTGTGACATTCATGCCTCTCATTTCTTGTCGAGCTTCCTCGGAAACACAAGAAGCTAAGACCAATGCACCAAGGCCTGACATCCCCGTGTATACGGGTGCCTGATGTGGATCGACATGCATGCGTCGTACGGCCGAGTGAATCCCGTCGCACCCAAGGAGAAAATCCGCCGTGTCGCTGGTCCCGTCAGAGAAGGTCGCGGTGACTGAATCAACCGACTCTGTGATGGAGATGAGTGATTTGTCGTAGTGCAATGCGATACCAGCTTCATCAACCGCTTCCAATAAGGTGTCGAGTAGATCAGTTCGTTTAATCCTCATGTACCCATAGCCAGTCTGTTCCTTTGCTGCTGAAACAATGTCCTTTCGTCCCAGAACTCCTCCATTTATAGAGTGGATGGTCATGTTGGAGTGGCTGCTTCCGCGCTCATTGAGCTCTGAGTAAACCCCCAAACGATCAAGAAGGCGCAGACCATTTGGCATGATGCCTATGGCGCTCCCCAATGTCGAGGGTGCTGATCGAAGCTCATAGATCGTGCAGTCAATGCTCACCTGCTGCTGTAGACGTAGAGCGGTTACGAGACCCGCGGGGCCTCCGCCGATGATGATGGCCTACCGAGATGTTAGCCTTGTTGGCAGCCTGTAGTTTGCGGGGCTTGCCTTTTTTTGCTTCATTCTTCGATCCAATATTGATTGATGAGATGTAAAATGTTTTTGTCTTGTTCATTCCGAATTGGAGTTGTCGTTTATAACTACTTCATGTGTCGGAGATCATGCGGAAGTCCGCGGTCGAGGATTTCCCTTTTCGGTCATCCGTGTCCGAGCCAGACTAATCGGACATTAACTTCAACGCCGGCTGAGGCGACTGCATCCAGCTCTGGGAACTGTCACAGGTAATCAGCTATAATGATACAAACCTCGAGTTTCAGACATATATTGCGCGTCAACGTCATATCATGGCATGAGACTGCAAATTTTTGATATTGCCAACTCCACGCAAACTCGAAGGGGGTATTTCCATCATGAAGGGTTTGTATGGCTCAAATTATCCAATGTATCTCTTGCAACCCACGCCACAAACATGATAGTAATTTGATGCTGCAATCCGCCCATTGCCATGCTTCGAACTTATTAACTGAAGTTGCTAGGATCAAAGTCGAGGTCCTGCAGAAGAGAAGTCCACTGAAACTCTTCAAGGTCAGGGACAGCAGCCAAAAAGTCTGACCAAAGTTGGTGCGAATGTTCATCCCCAAAACCGTCTTCCTGCATGCCCACTGCAATATCATTCATATCTGTGAAGGCACTTTCAGGAACTGAATCTAAGTTCGCGCTTGATGTTGCAGCCGGCGAAGCCGATGGGATCGCATTCGCACGCTGCTTCTGCAAGGTCCCCATGACCTGTTCCATATTCTTCTCGATTCCTCTGATCAGGCTCTGCGCGTTCTTTCTTGATCTGTTCAGCGTCTCGTACGCGCCCTTAACCGTTTCCTTCATGACTTCCGCATCGGAGGCATCAGGATTGTGAGACAGGTCGACTGCCAACGCTACAGCGGCTGAGGTGACATGCAAGAAGATTACCCAATACCTCTCAGGTCTGAAGTGAAGCTTGGCAACCGGGTCGTCCATCATGCGTCTCAGTTCCAGGATCTTGTACGCTGATGTGAGGATCGTGGTTCGAGAGTAAGAATATCGAGGATCTGCATACGCTGCGAGGTGATAAGGACGATGAAGTCGACAAATGCGAGCATGGATGCCGAGGTGGAGACTTATTCGCTGCCAGTAGATGAACGGCCTTGACTCGCAAATCTCTTTGGACTTCTGCATACTTTCCGGGTCGAGCTTGCAGAATTCAGGAAGACCCTTGACAAAATCCTGCAGTTTTCTATCAAGGTGGAGAATGATTTCGTAGTCTTCTTCGGGGGTGTCGTCGGCCAGGGGTGCGATCGCATCGATAATCTCACGAGATATTTCTGCCGTTCTGAGTCGCAAAAAGAAGAATGTCATATCTGTTGGAATGGAGATAGGTAAATCGGGGATATCGCCTGAAATCGTGAGCGCGGCATCGTCGACGTTACACGGTTGTTTGACTCTCATCAGTCTCGGAATGAAAGTATAGATACCCTCTTGCGAGCTTCCGGAGAAAGAAGTCAGCCTGATGAAAGGTCAGCTAGATCAGCCACTGATGGTGGAAAGGATGCGTCACCAGTCAGAAGCAACCATGTTCCACCATACACGTCTCTGAACTTCCAAGTCAATGTTGTTGGCCGGGATTATGTCCCGCTCTTTCTGTGCGGCAGGGCTGTCTAAGCGATGAATCATCATTTCGCGGCACATATTGTAGCACCGGCTTCTAAGATCCAGTGCCTTGATCGGGACGACATCATCAGAGTTGATGGCCACATGCGCAAGCGTACATATCGCTGAGACAGCAGTGACGGAGGGCGGTAGTGGTGTGTGAGCGTCTTCAATGATTGACAGAGCAGAGTGAAAATAACAGTCGAAGGCCGATACGGCGTTCGCTTTTGTTGCTCCAAGCCTATGAAGAAGTTCATCTGTCCAGGCCAAAGCCGCACCAGCAAAGATACTGAAAAGCATGAGCAACTCGTCAAACTTTGGAGCTTCTTTGTCGGACCCCAAGCAGCTATAAACAAGTGATCTAATCGATGGCACGTGCAGGACACCGAATGTAGGCTGGATGGTGTCAATGAAGTGTTCGCAAAGCAGATGAGCTTGATGGGCAGGCGGGAGATTCGACGTCAAATGGGTTAAGCGCTCATTGACAAAAGCAGATTTGTTGTTTGAGGGGGCTTCAGTGTGGCAGTTGAACAGCTTGCGGCCTATATGGTATGATCAGCTTCGAATGGACCGACACAGCAGGATTCCGGCTGAAGGCTCGTACTGGAGGAAGTTAACTCTGGTTGCGCCAGCTGCGATACTTGAGCTTCATTTGGGAAGACAGCTTTCTCTAGTTTCGTTAGTCTGTCAAGCATTTCCTTGTTTCTGATGCCATTAGCATGGCGAGTGAGCGTACTGGGGACAGGTTGACTAACAGGTCCAACTGTCTTTGTGGAGAGAAGGCCAAGGTGCTTTCGTTTGGGCCGACCAAAGCATCACCAAGGTTCAGTTCCGGTAATGCTTCACTCTCTAAAGAGCTGATAGCTCGACTACCATTCTCGTAAACGCACGTGAGGCGCCGCTGGGTGCAGTTCGAACAAGGCTGATTGCGATCACAGCGCCGCTTCTTCTCACGGCAAGGCCGGCACGAAACTGGCAGCCGAGAAGCCCTGTAAGTCGACATGATAGGCGCTCCGGAGTAATTGCGCTTCATAGTGTGAAACTTGGGCGCATCGGTATCGGCATCGGCATCGGATACTGATCAATTGACATGGTCAGATTCATGAAGCGGAGATGTTGGGTCGAAGCCGCGGGTCCGCGGAGTAAAATTGACAAATACGGTTAGCAGAAACAAAGCATCTTCACGTGATGCTGGCCTCTTCCAGGTACCCTGAGGTTATCATCATGAGTAAATACTAAGTAAATGCTGAGACAAGTACAGGGACACGGAGCACAATATGAATTATGTTATTATTATTAAGCCACGCTTGTGATAGAAATTCCAATCCCATTCCTGAAACCTCCCACGATTAAAACTGGTTGATAACTTAGTTTTCTCTGCAATGAATGTTAACTCTATGCAAGTGAGTTTCAAGACCAGCAAGACTTACAATATGGCCAACTCAAGATCACCTTGGATTTTCGCTTTCAGCTGTAACTCAACATCGAGATCCATATCCAATCTCACGCGAGGTGCGCTGCTTTTCTTTCCCGTCTCTTGACTCCCTGCTTGAACAGGTTGCTGATCTTGGGGGTGATTCATGGCTCCTTGAGACCCAGTGTTGGTACGATCGACCTGGTTACTCTGTGAAGCTTGGGTCATTTGTTTTGATTCAGTCTCGCTAGGATAATCGCTCTGATCACTGGCGGCTGAGTGTGCTTCTTGATTCGTCTTTCCCGTTGCCATTTTCGATATCTTGAGATATGATTGAGTGCGGAGTGCGATGTCTAGTGGTAGGTGCTTTCGATATGCTGAACAAACCCTTTTGGTACTTAGACTATTGAAGTTAGGAAAACTTAGAAATCGCTCTGTTCTGTCTTCACAAGCTAATATGATTCATATCTGGGTGGCGATTGGAAAAGTGGCACTATGATGTCAATGCCCCCGTCTTCAGGCAAGGACAAGTTTCATCCAACACGTGACCATGATGTCGATGGGTATGATTTTGTCAAACGATTGGTGCCAAAATTGTTAAATGTTGCTAGATTTCTATGGAAGACTAAGTTGCATCGCAGAACAGCTTAGAACAGAATGCTGAGGAAACGTCCTGTAGAGACCTGACCGGGTCTGCAGCACGGTACCCCTGTCATCAACCCAAGCAAGTCATCTACCAAGCAATGCTAGCTATCTTGCTACAAGACCGGCAGTTTTCCTTGCAAATTGCTAAATCAGGGTTGACAATCACCAAGGCCTGCTGTGCAGTGATTAAGGCCGATCAAAACCACCAGCTCCAGGACCTCCCTTCGCAAGAGGATGGAACTCAAAAGACCCAACAAAGATGCCCGAGTCCAAGTACTTCTTTGCCCATTCCCTCACATGCTCTGAACTCACATGCGCCGCATACGCGTCTCGATCAGCGAACCTTTAGCATTGAAGTCAGCTGCAGTCGCGCGTCTCATGGGTAAAGTACTTACTTCTCCATGCAGACGAACTCGTCTTTACCCTCAGTCTTGTAGAACCTGTAGATCTTGGCGCCTGGTTCCTTCAAGGTCGCTTCGGCAACTTCTGCCAGACAAGTATGGGCCTGGTTATTGAGAACACAGACTGGGCATAACAGTACGATGGGGCTCATACCTCGTCAATCCTGTCCGGATTCACCGCGATGGTGGAAACAGAAAAGTACTCTCCAGATTCTTCTGAGGCCATATTGAGTTGAACTGATAAAACTATGTTGTGCAAGTCTTGTTTCTAATCTTTGGAGTGATTTGGGTCGTGATGAGAATAAATGGGGGTGTAAGCACTACCTGGATCCGAGCTCCGTGGAGTCAAGTAAGAAGTGCTCGTCAGCTTTTGCTGACAGTGGCTCCACCGCTCTTTCTTTTGATGGTAAGATTGTAGGACTCCTCATGTCACCTCACGAGAAGGGAACCCTGTAGAGAGTATAACTCGGCTCTCAGACTGGATTAGAATCTTGAGCTAGCTCAGAGAAATCAAAGGTCAACCAGAGAAAATATGCAATGTCGCTATCCCTTGACTAATGTTGGATATTCTAAACTATACACAAGATTATACAGACGAGCCAGTCTATGTTCGCCATACGAAGTGGCCATTATTCAGCTCGTCAACCAACGCTCCTTCATCACTTCATATATTCCATCAAAAATCATACAATGGCTTCGCTAAGCGTATTTCTCCTCCTCCGTCGCTTCAGTCAACGTCAAGTCCAAATCTCGCTGATCTCCCTTCCAGACGTTAGGTTCACTCGTCATCTCGACTTCTTTCCCGCGAGTAGGCTCATTTTGTGAACTCAGTCTCTGAAATTCGCCAGCCAAGGCTTCCATGCCGATGACGTCCATGCTCTCACTCGTGGAATCGAGGTTGATTGGATAAAGACTGCTATATGTGCCCTCTTGGTTGAGCGCCCGTGTTGTAGCTCTGATGTCTTCGATCATGCTGTTGTTTGTCCATCCTTCACGTTTGAAGGTTCCATTTTGCCAACCTATTGTCATTAGGCCTTCTGTAATACCTCGAAGCCCCTTGCACCAAGTTGCTATCGACAGGCATCCACGCGCCGCCAATATGAAGTAAAACTGTGCGTCGGATGTACCGGGATTTCGAAAGACTTCGTTAATGATGGTGAGAAATCCGGGAGTGATGAACATAGTGAGGTTGGTTGACTCGAATCGTTTCCTGTATATATATATAAGCCGTTTGAGTTGATGGACGGATGCTCCGTGAGTGGTAATGGCGAGTTCGCTTCTCCCAGCGTCTTCATAGCTTCTACGACCGATAAATGGGCGCCACATGTCTATTACTGCTGCCTGGTACCAGATACTGTGATGGTCAGTTTACAAACTTCAGATAAACGCAACTCCACTCACTGTAGTACTAGAACATGGTGAGGGCAGTTTTCACTCCTCTGTACGTCCTCGGGAAGGATACTGGCCCAGTCGAGCAACAGTTGATACATCCGATGTGCGTGTGACATTGGTAGACGGTTAAAGTGGCTATAACCTTCACGAAATGCTTGATGTATGATGACCCAGAACTTAGATATCCATGTAAATGTGCTTCCCATGCGCTCATTCAGGGACGGTCCGGAAACATCTCCTGGTATAGGCAAAGATGGTGGATGCCGTATTCGGTGTTCTGCTCGGAAGTTGATACAGTGGAGACTACATCAAGTCAGTATGGGTGTTGCGTGGTCAGGGTAATAAATGCCAACCTGTGCCAGCCAAAGGTCCCCCAAGCGGCAAATGATGCTGCTGTCCGTATTTCATCGTCGTCGTTGAAATCAGGCACAGATGTTCCCTCATCGCTGAACAAGCCAAGCCCACGACCTATTTGTACGCTGGCGTCGAGATAGAATAGACCAACTTTATCTTGGCCATGCTGGTTACAAGTAAGTACAAGAAACATTGCTGATGATAACGTAGTGATGGAAGTATGGTCTGTTAAATCCTTCCATCGCCTCTTGGCCTCTCTCAAAAACGCAAGAGAGAATGTTTGAGCTCGTGGCTCAAACTGAGAGTAGGAAGCCTGCCCGTGTCAATAAACGTTTAGTCAAGGCAAGGGGGACAGCGTACGCAGGCCCAAGCAAGAAGTGAGCTGACGAGAAGTTGCGAGCAAAAGCGGCCTCCGCCAGCCACAAAATCTCGAATGAATAGATCGGCATCAAAGAATGCTAGGAGAGGGTGTTCGTTGACCAGATAGAAAGATATGGCCTGCGCAGCCAGGCTTTCGGGTATAGATATAGAAGTCCACTGCCATATTTGAAGAGACTCCATCCGAGGGTCAATGCCAGTATCTCCAGTAGTGTCGCTTGGCGTCGAGAAAGATTCAGAAGTCGACGGTGTCTCCGATCTTTGACCGAATTCTATTGGTGTGAATGGCGTCAAGGGTGCTGTCGCTTGATGATTCGACGATGTCAGGGCCCGTTTGTTAACGGCCAGTAGACCAAGATCTACATCCTTGATGTCAAGAGTTTCCAGGACAGGGAATACGCCGGAAAATCGCATGTTTAGGTCCAGCTCAATTGGTGAGTCGGCTGAAGTTCCCGCGAGACTGGTGGCGAGGGGGTCGGTTGATGAAGGTGGCTTTATGATGCCTGAATCAAGAACTTGCAAGAATTCCGATACAGAACCGCTGCTGCGTAAGTTCCCCAGAAGCTCTTGAGCGTGTTCATCGGGGGCAGTCCTCAGGAGCTCCAACGCCTGAAACAGATCCTTAGAGCCCTTTCTCAGTTCTATCATCTTCTCATGAGAAACCTCGGCACGATATACACAGTGCTGTCTTCGGCTCGCGCAGGCCGAACATGTTGGTTTACGGCCATCACACTAGAGAGAGTGAAAGTCTGTTACTCATACATGACGCCAATAAGATATGATACGGCAGGACAAACCTTTGATTTCCGAAGGCGGCAGTTGTTGCAGGCGACTGATGTCAAGGCTGGCCTGGGTATGTCGGAGACATCGAGAGGGGCGTATTGAGGCTCATGATCCCTTTTTTGGGACTTTCTGGGGAGCAACTGTCGATTAGACTTTTGGTGTTCTTGTGCTCGTGTGGGTTTTTGTGAGCTGCTCATGAGAATTTCGATGTCAAACAAAACGAGTGTAGATTCAAAGGAGTTGGCTATTCTTGAGAATTTGCCTCTGAGTGGCAACAGAGGAATGAGATTTTGCTGGGGTCAGCTGCCAGTCCCAAAGGAGAAATGATGGGCGATTATGTAGAGTGAGCTGAGGTGCGGCAGAGTGATCGTGTTGGTTCGAGTAGACTTGGGCCAGCTGAAACGTTGATAAAAGCAGTGTCTGTGTATCGCATGTTGATTTCTCGTCTGAGCTGTCGTGTCGTTGGAACAAGGCAGAGCGTGCGTGACTGAGTAACTCCATTCCGTGTTGGAAGACCGGGCCAAGAAGGAGGGGACCCCGCCTCGCATTTCCTCCGGCGTGGCCTGATTGGAGGGATCTCGATGGTTTGGGTTACAATCATACGATAAGGCTGTTGGTGCATATTTCTTGATTGGCCATTAATGAGCGCTATTCGCAGATCCCTGGTTTTGCTAGAGAAGATATCTGACGTCATATCGGTCACTCACCTTTCTTTACCATTGCTACAGATCTCGGCACAAGATGTTGAGGTTGAGCTGAGTTGGCATCAGATCGAACCGAGGAGTAGCCACTTGAAGTCAGTTTTCGTCATTCCACAAGCCGCTTCCAGACTTACCCCATTGGACACTGTACATTGTACAACCAGCCAACTGGTCTGGTCTGGTCATATCGAGTTTTATCACATCTCACATTTTCTGGAAAATTGTGGGATCCGATGGCTGAAAAAATTCGATTCAAAACTTACCGAAATTCTTTTTCTATAACTTACGTTTTAGCTATCCGACAGCTCCAACCCCAACCCGGCCTGATTAGATACACGAAGAACAAGACCCCCCAGTCCTGCCTCAAAGCTGTGCGCTAGGATCCAGTAACGGAATAATTCCATTCTCCCGTATGAAGACCTTGTTGATATGCCAATTCTTCTCCAACTCGGTCTTGGGTCTCTTGCTTCTCTTCTTCTTCTTCTTTTTAACCGAGTCTCCCGAATCACTGCGCAACGGAATGTACGGCCAGATCTCCTCCGATGGGAGACCTTCGGCCTCAGAGTCTTCCGCGGGGTTCTCATGGTGTGACCCGCCTTGATGTTTCGAGCCACAGTGCTGAGAAGAAGGGGGCTCAGTGACTTCTTTCTGTGGAAGCTCATAGTTGAGCTTAAGAAGCTGTTCCTCGATTAGATCCATAATTGCTCGGGCTTCTCTGTGTCGCTCGAGCAGGATATGTATTTGGATTTCTTTAGAAGGATCTCCGATGCGAGGCATCCTGGCCCCTGGGTTTGTGGGCTCTATCAACTCCATCTCTTCTGTGGCGGTACTAACCTGATTCGCCCAATCCTCAACGGTCTCTACAAGCCTGTGAGCCTTGTAGTAGTGCTCGACAACGTCTTGAGACAAGACAGACATGGTGGTAGATTCCCTTTTGCTATAGAGATACAGAAAACTTGAGAGGAATGGCTGTTTATGAAGGTCGGTATGTTGGAGCGAATTGTAGATCCATAATTGAACATGAAACTTGCGCCCGGTTTATATGCTTTATTCGCTCAGTGCAACACTCAAGGGAGTGAAAGATCGAATGATCATTCAAATTACTGGCACAATATTGAATAAAGCGACAAATTTTGGTTGTTTTCTGGTCCGGCGGTCTTTGTTTTTGAACAATACCTGCTTAAGGATATGGTTCAGCTCAGTGGCTGAAAGCCTAAGCCGCTCGGAATAAACCTGTGGAGTGAGCTAATGAGAACAAGCCGAACAACGACGTTTCTTTCATCGAAGCATCAGAACAATTAGCCCAGTACTGAAAGGTGCGTCCTGTTCAATCGAGCCTTGTCAACCAAGGATCTGGAGTTCGCTACGAGCAGATTTGAGTATCAGCACTAGCTTGGGTGAGATGGCCGAGTTGGTTATGGCGCCAGGTTAAGGTTAACCTTAACACCAGTTTCCTGGTGGAGCAATCCTCCTGGGTTCGAGTCCCAGTCTCATCAACGAATATTACTTTTGCACTTTTGCGATGATAAGTCCTGCATACTTTTTTCTCCCTTTTCTCTTTCTAAAGCCAAGCCCAGTAGTTTTTATTGACGATCAGGCGTGCTAGGAATGGCTATCACGGTGGAGGAACGAGATATTGTAGTGGCGCTTGGCGCTGGGGGAATCATTGTCTATACCTTTTACTCTAAATACAATGCAATATGAAGGCTCTTTCTATAACATGATCCATGTAATAACTCCTGCGAAAACAATCAAAGACGAATTGAAAGCATTGGGCAATCCAAAACGCGCTGCTAAAGAAACAGGCCTCGTAGAAGGTGTCGGTGTAGAGGAGCTCGCAATGCTGAGGAATGTTTTCTGATTTGGGGTTGCGGCGTATGCATCAGTGTTGTAGGTCGAGTTCAAAGAGATGCTTCCAACGACCTCATCCGACTCGAGGCGGATGTGCGAATCGATTTCAAGATTCTTAAGGCCCTCTTGTGTGACGACGATTTGTCGACCGCCTCGGATCCAGTCTCCATAGCCACCGTAGCCAGTATGTTGACCGTAGCAGAGATTGATGCCGTTGCCAGCAAGGTCCATATCGCCAACCTTGTCTTCCCACTTGTAGCACCATGAGTTCGCGTGGTCGTGGCCGGAAAAGAGGCCAATGACGCCGGGTGTCGCAACGAGAGCTTGCATCAAGGGGAGATCTTGGTCGCTGTAATCACAACCACCCTTCTTTTCTGCGCACCATCCCGCACCTTGCTGAATGACTGTTTCGTCATTGATGCCAGGGTGATAATTCTCATCGATGCCGTTGTTCTGCAGCATCAGAGAAGCGTAGACGGGAATGTGAACAAAGGCCAATGAAGGAATGTTCTTGCCATGTTCCTCACGCAAGTCAGCATTGGTCTCGTTAAACCATTCCACGACACTCTTATCGACCCAGTTTGGCTGAGCACCGCCCTGGTAGTAAAAGCCACCTCGGGAATCGAAGAACCAGAGTATCAGCTCAGGTGTGCAGTTTGAACTGCAATTCGATGCGTATACGGGGAGGTAGTAGTTCGTAGTTCCAGCATCGCTTCCTTCAACCATTGAATCTGTTCGAGATCCGGGCCATGTATGTTCGCGCTCCAACATGGCGGTTCCGTTGAGATTGCGATTGTGGTCATGGTTTCCGTACGTTGAAGCCCATGTCATGTTTCGATCTACCATCGGGGAGACGATTTGATCGATGTACACCGTGCTATTGTGAACGAATGTTGATTCGCCGTTGATAAGGTCGCCGTTCAGGACTACCAAGTCTGGTAGCTCGGCATCGATCACGTCGCCCATGACCTTGACAGTCCTAGCATCTTTCTCGGGCCCTATTGAGGAGGCATCTAGATCTTGGTCAGTGATTTGCCTCGAGCGATTGTAGCTTCAATGCCATACCTTCAGCGAAATGGAGATCTGAAAAAACTGATATTTGAAATGTTCCGTCGCTCTTGAACTTCAATGGGTCAAGGTTGCTGTTGTCAACCTGATCGCGCTGAGCGGCAGCTCGTAGCGATTGCCCGGCCAGGAAACTTGTGAGAGCGAGTGATCGCAGCATCATGGATTAAGTGGTGGTTTGTGAAAGAAGCCTTTATAGGGAAGAGTACCTCAAATTGGCTCGGATAGTCAGGGGAATGGTATAGTGCCTACGTCAAACGCTTGAGAGTGTACAAGCATCAAATCTTGGAGAAGGGCGGGAGGCACGAGGGGGTTTTGATAGTTGCAGCAAACACCAAGAGAAAAGGATATCAAGCGATTATGACGCGTTGAGGTGCTTGGCCCAGCCATGATGCCAAGCCATGATGCCAAGCCATGATGGGGATGCCATGCTCGCGTGTTGTGCTACTCGACTCGGCGTCCGAAGCAATGAATTACGCGGTCACTCGTCCATGATTCGTCTCTCATAAGCAACTGTTGGCCTCGGAAACCTAAACCTTAACTTTAGATCCCTTGGCGTGGCTTGGACATGCGCTCTGGCCAATACATGCCCTGCAAGTACGACATGGCCAATTCTTGGCAGGCTCGGTAAGTATGGCAACTGATTTGCCGACCTATCTCTACGGGGTTATGAAACCGCTGACTCGCTAAATCCGACGCTGATACTCTACGGATTTTAGCTGTATGATCACTGTTATTCCGTAAACTGGGGTCGTTTCATGGGAGTATGAGAATTGAAACTAGTTTTGGGGATTTGCATCGGCTGCGACCAAGGGGAGTTTGGGAGTTTTCTTGGTTTTGCCTTTTAGCTTCAGTGAGGCTTGGGGGGGACCTGAGCGGGCTGACCGGACTTAGGACACCTAGAGGTACAGCACTGAGCACTGTACCTTAGCAGTCCCGATTCGAGGATCTGGCGCATCACCCCCAAATCTGAGTCAGTCTCGTCACCAACAATCCATGACATCAATTGCCAAGACTTTGCCCTCACTAACAATTTAGTCGGCAGTTGATGAGGCTATGCGAGCCGCGTCACTCTATCAGCAGGCCGCATCTGATTTCCAAGCATTTACTCCATTAACCAGAACCGATTAGGATAAACGTTTACGCACTGACTGAAAAACGAAAGGGCGGGGTTATGGTTATTGTAATCACGGCTGCTCTCCCACTCTGCTCCCACTCGGCCATGGTCGATCAATCATCAAAGAGATGGGGTAGAACCCATGCCAAGAGGTGCCCAGAAACAGGGAATCGGTTCACTCGCCGATGAGCCCCGACGTGAATGCGCGTAAATCGCATTGAAGACTTTTTTCAGTCTGCAAAAGCTCATACGATAGCCTCAATTGACCCTCTGAGGAGCTTGGGCGATAATGTCGTCGCAAATTGTTTGGCCCCATACGAGATTACTTATGCAGCCTGCTGATAACCAGATCCACCATCTTCGGCCCTACCCGGTGTTGCAAACTCTATCATCTTGAGATCAATAGCACACGGTCTTGCCGTTGGGAACTCAAACTCAATGTGCGAATACTTTGACCCCAGCCTCCCGATTTATAATCCTCCAATGCGGTATCGGCGACAACATGCAACAAACGCATTAGAATGACAGAAATATTGAGTGACCCAACAAAAACTCCATTGATCCCACTATAGTACCCAAGTCTTCCATCGCATTACAATCATTAGCGTCATACATACTTATTTACAGTGAATCAACTTCAATCTCCTCATTCTTCCTTTTCCTATTCTTCATCCCCCTCGACGTCATACGGGAACAACCATCCGTTGTCCTCGTCATACTCATCCACAAATGTCGTTCCATGAAGGTTCTCGTACCTCTCCATGTCAAACTCATCATCGCCAGCCTTTCCGTTGAGGATATTGCCAATCTTGTTAGCGATATCACGACCTTCAGTATATGCGCCGTGCAGAAAACCGAAGAATTCCGCAGAGTTAGCCTCTCCGGCAAACCAGAGACGCTCAACGTTGGCGCGCATGTTCTGATGCTTCTCGAGAGTCATGCCGACAGGCCAATTGCTGTAGGAGCCGTATGCCCAACTGCGTATCGTTAGTCCACGGGTCATTCGACTGCGAGCGGTTTGTTCTTGACTTACGGTTCAGTACTCCAGCGAGGGTAGGTAAAAGCAGTTGGTGTCGTCACGTTCTTGTCGGGAAACATGAGTCTCAACACGTCGAGAATCTGTTCCATCGTTTCATTGTTGGTCTGACGTTCCACACGCCATGCCTGCTCTCCAGTCACAGTTCCGAAGAGAATGTTAGAGCCCGGCGCAAAACCCTCTGGGTTGAGTGACTGGAAGAGAGGATACCGGCCACGCTCGAGAGGATCGGCATACAGGAAGAATTGCGTTTCGTTATCCCAGAAAGCCTCTTCGAACTGCATAAAGATCTTTGTGTACGTGCCCATTGCAAACTGGTCAATGGCACTTTGCTTCCAGTCGGGGAGAGGAGGGCTGAACTCGGTGGTGTTGCTCTGCAGCACGCCCAGCGAAAAGGTGCAAATGGCGTAGTCGGCCTGGATACAGTCACCCTTGTCCGTTGTGATTGTCACTCCGTCTTTTCCATACTTGATGCCTTCGACAGTGGTCTTGAGTCGGAGTCTTGCATCACCGTTCTTCAGGAACGTCTTGGCCTCCTCTTGTATGATGGTGCTAAAGCCACGCTGGTCAACGACGAGGTTGCTGACATCACTGAAGTAACCGAATGTTGCATTACCACCAGCCACTCCGAAGATGAGACCACTCTCATCAGGTGTCCAAGCGGATTCAAAATCCCATTTCCACCAGTCTGCGGCTTGCGCGTGCATGTCGTCCTTGTCTGGACGCCATCCTGCTGAGCGAATAGCGGCACGTACGGAAGTATCTTGCAAGTTTCCGAGCAGGAGACGACCAGATTCTGCTTCCGCCTTGCTGTAGATCTCTTCCAAGTCTTTGATCGTGCTGCTCCAG